GCCGACAAACTTGCATCCATGGCTAGGGGACAACCGTTTGGGGTGATGTTTCATCAAGACATTCCTTGTGAAGTTGTTCCTTTAGCTACTGAGGAACAAGACTCAACGAACTAATCTTAGGTTTATTTTGTATTACCTAAAAAAGGTTTTAATATGTATATATTTTAAAGTATTCAAGAGAGTGTTATGAATATTATTAATGTGGTTATCTAAATCACCTTTCATCTATCTAAACTCTTGATTTTATCTCTCTCAATCTTTCACTTTTATTCTTCTTGTAATCGTTTAGGATTTAAATTCTGTAAACAATGGCTATGTATAAATTTAATATATATATATAAACAATTAAAAAATAAATTCATTTCTCTCATATTATTTATCCCTATTTATCTCTTATTATTTCTCTTAAATTTATAGTTTTATAAAAATATTAAATTTATATTATTTTGATTTTGATACACTATAATATTTGTGTATTTGCATTTTTCTCGTACTATATCATGTTGTATTGTTTATTTTTTGGTCAAATAATACTCGTTTTTAATATTGTCCTATATATATATATATATATATATATATATATATGGTCTACTTATATTTAGTGTAAAATTTTTAGTTTTACATTTTTTTAGGAACATTGAATGACGGAAAATTAAAGAATAAGAGGAAATTAAAGGTCGATATTAATTCATTATTCTTCCAATGAATATCTTTTCATTTCGTACCGTTAATCTCAACATTTAATTTTATCTCATCTAACCGTCCAAAAAAATTATAATTTTTTTTAAATTATACATTATATAATTAGATCATAACTCTCTCTCTCTATATATATATATATTCTGAAAAATTCTGTCATTTGTTGTACTTTTGTCTGATCTTGAAACTCAAAAATAGAAGGGCTCAAGACTTGTTTCCAATTCGAGAATGTCTGATTTTTTTTTCTTTCACTCCCTTTCTCTTTCGGCAACAAAGATCTGAGAAGACCTTTTCGTTTTGCTAAAGAAATACTTTTATAAGCATTAATATCTAATTTATTAATCAATGGAATGTTATAATATATATTATAAAATATATTTTTAAGTTTATTTATTTATTTATAATTTTAAAATTTAAACTCATGATTTTATCTAAATTAATATTACATTTATTCCGGTTAAACTAATTCATAGATAATAAAATATCATCTATACTATATATTTGTCTAATATACTAAAACAGAGAATACAATTTAATCCTTTTAATTAATAATCTTTTAAAATATTAAAAATATTTATGTTCCACTCATATATATATATATATATATCCGACAATTACTCTCATTGCATAAACTCATCTCTGTGTTAATTATGATAGCGTGGGTTTAACATTAATTAAGTTTCTTCAATGTTTGGGGTTAAAGAAAATATCATAATTTTCACAAATGATTTTGTTCCTTTATCAATAACCATGCAACAAGCATCTCTTTTTCATAATAAAATAAAATAAACGTGATTAGTTACGTGGCGGTAAATCAAGGATTATGTGTAAAAATGAAAAGGTTAAAGTATGTTATTAGTTCATATATTTTTCATAAATTTAAGATTTAGTTTTTATATAAGAATTTAATCTCTTTGTTTTTTTATATATAAAATTGAAGTCTAATTATTAATGACCTTTGTAATGGACTTCAACTTAATAAACAATTGTAACTAGGTTAACAATTGGATTTAAATTTTAAATTAAAAAAATCTGAGTAAAATGACTAAATTTAAATATAGTATGAGTACACTAAATTGTAACATTTTTTTTATTGCCCTTTCGGTTCCAAGGTTTTAACTTGACTACTCTGGACCGACTCACGTCACACACCTGATTTTGATGGGTGAGTCTCCTAACAGGGATTTTCTACATACACAAATATTCAAACTCGAGATCTTGCTTAAGCGATATCAAGATGCTTACCATTTGAACCAACCCCTCTTGATAAATTGAAACATATTTTCACCAAAATGAAATCATTATTCCATTTTTTATTGTAATAAAAATTTTAATTCTTGAAAAATAAACAATATTATTTCTCTTAAAAAGAGGCCCGGTTACATTTATAAAATATAATTAAAATTATAAAAATCGTAATATTGTTGTGTGTATATATATATATATATATATATATATATATATATATATATATATTTACTGTATACTTTTTAAAAATAATTATTTTAGCAGCCATTATTTCATAGATTAAGTATGTCTTACTCAAACATGCATAATGGACCCAAAGTTTCATCAACTCCAGTCAATGCTAGAGCTTGTCTACAGATTCGACCTATATAAATATTTATTTTTTAATTCCAATTTACAATGGAAAGATAAAAACAAATTATTGTAGTATATAAAAGGAATGGATGAATAAATCTCAAAATTTTTTAATGAAAATAAATAAATAAACTAAAAAGATCAAATTATTTTCTATTTTACGGTTTATTTGATGAAATTAATATTAGTTTCGATATGGAATGTGAAAATCACTATGAATAGCTTTAATTGAATCAAAATGGACTGAGATGAATTTCAGAGGTTGAAAGTGATGGGAAATTTAAAAAAAAAAAATTGTGGGCCACATTTAATTATCTTCGATTACAATTGTTTAAAAATACTTAATTAGGAACAATACATATGTCAATCATTCATTAATTTCACTTCGTTGAAGTTAACGCTCATTTTATGGAGATTTTGAAAATTGTATTAACATTTATATATTTTAAAATTGAATTTGGTTTATGTCCCCATTACTTGTTGAGTTAGCTTTCTCATTTTCTATATTTGCTGACGTGGTATATAGTTACACATTAGCATTAATTTTATTTAAGAATATATATATATATATATAACTTTTAAATTAGCTAACTTAAATTCATAATTTTATTTAAAATTTTGTATTTTTATTCCTAAATTATTTGATAACAATTATCTAAATCTAAATCCACTAAAAATTAGATAGTTCAAGTTCAACAGAGTCATATTCAAATATTGATTTTTTTTATATTCACATTTGTATAAGTTGAAAAGATTCTTAATTATTTGGTAATAAACGTGTATACATTCTTGCAGATGTCATGTTTGAACTTGAGACCTCAAGAGAAAACATCAATTTTTTTAACTATTGAGGTCGTTTAGTTCGTGCTCAAGAATATTTTTTTAATTAACTATTGGTATTCAATCTATTGACTGAATAATCCAAATTAAATTTTATACATGCCCATTATAAGGTGATCATCCTAACCTAATTTATTATATCTGTAATCGTCTGAATTCAAACCTATTATCTTGCTCAAGAAATCAAAAACATATTTTTAATATATGAATTTAATTAAATGTTTACTTTGAAAAAGTAATAAAGAGATTATTAACTCAAGATAATTTATTTTTAAATATTTTCAATAAGAGTTTTCTTTACCCTTTAGTCAAAGGCAAACAAAAAATAAAAATATATAATATATTTGATGAACTACGATAAAAAATGTCAATATGTACACATGACATCACCACATATTTGATACTAACATTAAGGCACACTAAATTAAAATGATCAAACTAAAATAATCGTATTAAATTTATAAGAAAATACATAGTAAATGGGCAATTTTATAAAAATACGATCATCAACTTCCAAATTATTATCAATTTTAAAACATTAGTTTGAAACAATTAACACAATAATTTTTTTTATAAAAAAAGTATACATGTAGAGTGCGAAACATAAAATACATAATATATCTTTATCTTATTGAATTATTGACATAATGAAAAAAAACTTACAATTATGAAGCTTAGAATACAATTAAAATGTTAGGCAATCAGTTTACAATTAATATAAGAAAATAAAATCTTGGACATGGTTTTTTTTAATTACTAATTTATCCCTTTAATTGAAAGTTTGTTTTTTTACTTTTTTTATTTAGATTAAAAAAGAACGATTTTTTTATTGTAAAATTAAAACTTAGTTAATTTTGAAAGGTATTATACTTCAAATATATATTTATAAAAAAATCCACAAATAATTTCAGATAATAATAGGTGTTTCATTTAATTATATTTTAAAATTTTATACTTTAAAAAATATTTATCACTGATTCAATAGTACTTATAGATTTTTTTTTTAAATATTGGTTAATAATTTTTAGTAATGACGGATTCATTAAATAGTGAGGATGGACACTAAAATTTGATTTTTTAACAATTATTTATTTTATTAATTGTACTTACCTTAAAATTTTATATATATATATATATATATATATATATATATATATATGCTTACTCTAATTTTTTAAAATTCGTAATTAATTTTTTTCCAAATTAATTTGGCATGAAACATAACAATTGATGGTTGACTTGTGGTGCCTGAAAGTAGTTTGAATTGTCAATAAAAATCCTAGGTAAAACATAAACTTTTGTCTCAACATGAAATTAAAAACTCCATAAAAAGACAAATTTAATATAAATAAATCAATTTTATTTTCAAATACATGAAACCAATGATCTATTATCCAAAGAGACAAGACAATGGGATATGCACAAAGCACATTGCAGCATTACCGCTTTCTATCACTTTCTCGAGAAAAAATCATCTCCGAAAATTTCAAATCTAATAAATTGTGGCAGATCCCAAAGCCGCCTTAATTACTTCAAAAGTTTCCCACATGCCAAACGCCCCCCAAAAACAACCCATACAAATCAAGGAAGATCAACCATCTCCAACCAGACAACTAAACAAAATAATAATAATAATAATTTCTATTCTATTCATCACTAACCATGATTTTAAAAACTGGATTAAAAGATAACATACACTCTTACAATATATATGTTAGAGAAAATAAACACATATCCCTTAGTTTTTTTCCTTCTTAAAAAAGGTTTCGGATTCAATTTTGAAAGAAGAAGATGCAATACAATATATATCCATAAATTCAAATTGGAAACTAAAGCAATATAAATGAAATTATTTAACATGTCTAGATCGGATCCATAAAACCAAACCGAACAAAAAGTTGTCTGAATATTACAGACTTATATGAACTTTTTTTAAATCAAGCGATAGATTCGCGTGTAATTTCAATTCAATACATACAAAAAGAAATTAAAAAAAAATACATGTAAAAAACCCAAAAATAAACAAAATATATATAAAATAAATTCATGTACGTGGGCACCTTCTTTTAGAGACGGGATCATGGAAACCAGATTCGAAAAACGCATCGACTTCATCTCTGTTAAGGATATCGAAGAACTGGAATTCAGACAGCTTCCGTTTACACGACACATATGTTTTCCTATGTTTCCTAGGTGCTCCCGGACATGAAAAAACCGCCGGAATCTTGTTTTCTTCCGATGTGGGCGTTGAACACTCGCTGGCAGTGTTGTTGCTATTGTTTTCTTGCTGAATTTCGAGTCCAGTTTGATCGGAAGATTGAATGTTGAGTTTGGGTAATTTTGCTTTAGCCAAGTCATGGAGTAATCCAAGATCTGTAGACATAATTGTTGAAAAAACCAGAAAGAGAGAGAGGAAGAAGAAGAAGAAGACGTGAAAATGAAGGAAAGAGAAAGGCTGAGGGATTAGAGAGTGTGGGATCCTTTTATATTCTTCTCCTAAGGATTTACCGTTTATTTTTTCAAATCTCTTTTTATTTTATTTTAATAACAATGATGTTGAATTTTCTTTTGGGAGTGGAAAACTTTGAGTTTAAGCTGCCTTGAGTTGGTCGCTTTCTTAGGCTTTTTTACTTCATTTTCTTTTAGCTTTGTTGCTTGTGCAGCTATGAAGAGGAAGATTTTAAAACAATACTAAGCTCATTCTCTTAAAAAAATTCAATAAATGCATCAAATTCTTTTTTACCAACAAAATTCTAGGCTATAAATTCATTAAAAGAAAAGGCTTAACCTTATATCTATACGCCTCACGTATTTCACGATGAGTACTATATTCTTTATGAGGTGTTCTCATGAATTTGTGTCTAATCCCTATATGTATTTTCTTATTATTATTGTTCTGATTTTTAACCACATAAATTACAAATTGTGAAACACATAATAGATAAATTAGTAGGTTAAGTTTTCAAATTCAAGTAATTAAAGTTATCAATTTCAAATAGAATGAAAGCATCATAATATTAAATTTGAATACGTAAATATTATAATAACATGCACATTCAATATGAGGTAATGGATTCATATAAAAAAGACAACTGTTATATAATAAGCTATAATAAGGATACGAAACTATATGTTAAAATTTTGAAGATACAATGGCGATGAATTTGAATAAAATGAAGAAAAAACAACTTTTGTATTGTAAATTTGATTAATTATATTACAATTAAAATATAATTCTTATTATTTAAAATTTTTCTAAGAAAAAAGAAAATATCGAGTTTTGAAATGATAAATAGCGTTTAAAATTTTTATTTCATTTTGAGTTTAATTTATAAAAGGTAAACAACTTGCAATTTCGTTTTCAATCAATCAAGAGTTCAAAAGAGTTTGAAATTAGAAGCGAAATTCAAATTTATGATATTTTGAGTTGGCTCAATAAACTCAACCTTAATGATGTTTCAGGTTTTTTTTTTTGACAAATTAATGATGGTTCAGTTAAAATATGCTCTTCGAGGTTGTGTTTTTATTTTCCAGCAACCTTGCAAGAAAATCCTTAAACGGACACGTGTCAACCTATCATAACGGCTAACGTATGAGTCTAGACACAGACAATAAAACCCCACTTTTTTTTTTCTTTTTTTTATTATTTTGTTTCGCTTTAGGGGATTCCAATTCTAACGTAGGAACGTAAAACTTACGTCGAAGACAAAAGTTGATAACTATACCATCCTCTGTACTTACCCACGCTCTTTCATGGAGCGTGTTCTTCAACTTTTTTTATTTTTTATGGCTTAATATCAAAATAAGTGTCCAAACTATATCATTTTTTCAAAATAGGTGTATAATCTATTTTTTTGACACAACCAAGTGTCTAATGTTACAAATGTTACCCATTTAGGTGTCCAGGCTGTTAACGACACTAATTTCTCCCGTTAAATGACACATGTCACAATTTGGTGATTTTAATTTTTTTAAATATTAAAAATATTATGACATTTATAAAAAAACACTAACTTTTCTTATATTATAAAATAACCCCAAAATCTCAAATCTTAACATTAATATGCCGCTGCCGCACCGCCACTGACATAGTCTCTGTCATCCTCCTACTCATTCGTCGTCGTAGTTTCTGTCGACTGGCCGTTGAAATTGTGTGGGATCACGATTTTCATCCGTGGGTTCGAAGGGTATAAAACGTTGATTCATTGTCGATCGGTCACGATTTCATAGGGTTTTCAAAGTTTTGAGTTTATTTCAAAATTTGTGTTTTCTTTTTTTAAAATATATAATTTTAATTTTAAATAAAATATTTAAAATTACCAGGTTGTGACACGTATCATTTAACGAGGAAATTAACACCATTGACTGCCTGAGCATCTAAATATGTAACGTTTGTGACATTAGGTATTGAGATGAATCAAAAAAATAGTTTAAGCACCTATTTGAGAAAATATGTATAGTTTGGGTACTTATTTTGATATTAATCTTTTTTATCTTAAAATATTTTCTTCCCTTTTCTTTTTAAAAATTTATGAAAAACCTTATTTTTGTTTCGTGTTTGATATTAGAATTCGGAAGTCATGTATATTTTTAATAGTTTTTTAATAGTTTCGGGTGATTATAAGGTAATATTTATTTATATTTTTTTTGAAATATTATAAATATACCCTTAAGACGTAATTATTTAAACTCATGAAAAAACAACACTTTTTTTAATGAATAAGACCATCCAATAAGTTCATGAATTAATTAATGATCGAAATTAAGAATTAAAATAAGTTATTTGTTACTCCATTTGAAGTTAAGTAATTTTTTTTAACTTTCTTTATTTAATATAATATGTAGTTACAAAATATAGATTGAATTTTAATTTAGTTGATACAGATTGTAAATTTTAATATGTTTAAATTCAGTTATATTTAATTTAAGGGTTTAATAAAATTATAGATGGTTTAAATACTTTATAAAAAAACATTAGATTATTATTTCAAACCATCGCATCTATATTTAATAGGAGCGGAACGAGAAAAATTATTTTGAGGTGTTAAATGTGTATGGAATATTTTTACGTTTAAGAGCGTCAATATTATTTTAAAATTGTGTTAGTTTTGATTTTAAAAATATTTTTATATCAAGTTTATATTAAAAATGTTTTTTTAAAATGACACCCCTTATTATATGCCAATTTAATTTTCCTGATGGAATTCGTAAGGTTTACAATGAAATTATATCATTATTGATAAATCCACCTTACTTCTTTAAAACTCTTAATCATCATTTAAATCCATAATAGGAAACCGATAGATATAAAACAGTACTGTCCATCATTTTCCCGACTTTTTGTGTGTAAAAAGAAAAGAAAAAAACACTCACTAACATGAAATTTAGTTCATAATTTCTTAAGCAATTGATAATGAAGTGAGATATCTAAAAATTATAATAATTTTTTGATAGATTAGAATAATGGAAAATTTTAAAATATCTGGTCCGTTAAAGCAAAGGGATATCTGGGATGCAATCCGAAACAAAGGGGATAAAGTATCCTGACACAAGCCAATCTAGTTCCCAATGCACATTCCAAAATACAGCTTGATCACTTGGATGGCACTGCTAAACAAACTCCCTACTAGAGACAGATTACTTAAAATGGGAATTAACTCTAAAGATACTTGTGTTAACTGCAACACCGGGCAGGAGACAAGAAGCCATATTTTTTCTCAATGTCCTTTTGCTGTTCGACTTTGGAATTCAATATTGTTGCTCAACGGTTTGAAGAATGCTCTATTAACATGGGACAGTATGGTCGCTCGGGCTACCTCAACATGGAAAGGTAAATCACTTCTCACCACTATCTTGAAGATCTCTTGGACTGCATATATTTACTTTTTGTGGGAAGAAAGGAACCGCAGAATTTTTCAAGGTCGACATAGAACTATCGAAGACATGCTGAAGGTCGTTAAAGAAGCAATGGGAATCCAACTAAAGGGTGGAAATATTAATAGAATTGATAGTACCAATGAAAACCTTTGTAATGCTTGGGGAATTGTCTAACCAATCTGATTTCGTTTTACAAGTAGGTTGTTCTTAGTCCATTTTGTTAAAGATTGGTTGTTTGTTTTGTAACAATTCTTTGTTCCTTGGATAATAAAAATTTTGATTTATCAAAAAAAAATTAAATATAATTATAGGACCGGAGATAAAGGAGTAGGTTTTTTTAAATTATGGTGGCTCCTCTGTCTGTATAGCATAGGATGCCATATTAGAGCCTGGAATACTCTTATCTGACCCGATCTCTTGCCTCATTGTTTTAATGGGATTTATTTATTGGATTTGGTTTCACCAAATACCAACTCATAGTCACCAAAGAAAATGAATCTTTCCACGTGAAATCTGTCTGTTTCTGCTGAGTCCAAATCATCATCACCTGCATGTTTTTCACCGCTTAAACCCCTTTGCTTTTCCATCTCTCTTTTTAAAAAGGATTTATTTATTGGATTATATTCCCCTATAATAAACAAACAAAACCCTTCTTTAATCCAATACTAACCCACTTTAAAATCTGCTGAGCTAGTCATTTTTTAATAATGCACGTCGCTTTTACTGGTTTTCTTAGTAATTTTGTTTTTCTAAAACAATCATTTTTACCTAGAATTCTGGGGAATATGTATATTTTTATTATACAAAACCCTAATGATGTGAAAGTCAATGGATGAAAACTCTTTTATGAGGTTCTGTGTGAACTGATAAAACCAGACAACAACGTTCCAAACATTCAACTTTATTCCTTGTGTCAAATCTTGTTTAAGAATTCATCTTTTTTTTCCCAAGCTTTTTCTTTCTTTTTTATATTCTTTTCTTCTTCCTTTCTCCAAGGAGATTTCACAACAAGCCTTGTTTTAAGGTTCCTTCCGATGTAATCTTTATCGTTAATTAGTAATAATAAATGAATAAATTAATAAACTATGGAAGAGTATTAAAGGAAATATTTCTATACTTTGAAGTGTTAAACGGAGCGTCTCTTTAGAGGTTTTAGATTCGAACGAGGGCATCCCAATCCGTTTATATTGTTCTTTCATGTCTTTAACCTGCATCTTATATGTGTTGGTAACCAGATGAAAACTGATTTTTATGAGATTTTTGAATTACACATAATCCCAGTCCAACGGCAAAGACCAAAACTAATGAAAATGGTTAAATGGAAAAACCAAGAATCGGTTGATGTAAATTACAGCAGCTTTTATGAACGGGCATGGACTGTTGCAACGCTGTAACATTTATGGATTTTGGTTTCCGTTTTTTAACTGTATCTGTCCCGTTAGTTTAAATATAATATTAGATTAGTTTGCTAAATATATATATAAGGTTCGATAATCAATTATATGATATAAGAAAATTCACTCAACCCTCAAAAATAAAATTCACTTAAACATTGGATGATATAAATAAAAATAACAAATTT